CAAAATGAACTGGGTTATGATCAAATGAGAGTATTATGTACCTGCCTTGTAGAGACCCTAGTTGGAATAATGGCCATAAATCAAGATGACAAAGGGTTTCTTGTCAAGACTAATATCCCTGTGGAGCCTCAAGTCATATGTGCTGGTTTTACTAGAGATCTGTGTGAAGTGTTTTTCAGGAATCTTTGTGTACATGGGAACCCTGTGTTAAGAGTAAGAGTAGCAGCGTTATTGCTTCACACATGTGGTAAACAGCCATGGTGGGGGAACTTCCTGGCTCAAGTTCTTTATCAGTTCTTTTCCTCTTCTCAGCACATGGTTTTTCCTCAGGAAAGGTATGAAAATCAGATTTTTTCGTATGAAATTATGTTACAAATGTAGAGACTGTTCACTTTGAATATCGCATAGCAACTTCAACTCCAGTTGTTACCACCTCAGATTGTCCTGAATTTTCCTCCACATTGAGGCATTTAAATAAAACTAGATTCACACAAATGATGTCAAAATATAAAACTATTATTGAAACATTCTTTTATTGTCATTAACCTACAAATTTCAATTGAAAGTATCTACCAATTATTATTTAATTATTGTTATTGTATTTCAGGGTGTTTGTAGTTCTGTCTGTCCTRTCCCAGCAGTCCCCTSATATWGCCTCTGTATTAACAAGTCTATTRACACTACTAGACCGTGTTGTATCTATAACTAATAAGAAAGGTCAAATGGATGTACAGGGAATAGATATACCTTTAGTTGGTTGGATAGTTTTACTACTTGCTCATATTTTGAATACCTGTGGTATTGGCAAAACACAGCATATTACTTCTGGTGAGTTTGCCTAATTACCCTTCATTYATCTTTTATTTTTATTCCTCCTTCTTTGCAGGTTTTGTCTTTCCATTCTCCTCTTCTCACCTCCTTGTATTCCTCCTTTTGTTTTGCTTTTTCTTTTCTTTCCTCTTTTTTCTTTTTCTTTTCTTCTCATGTTGTTGTTGTTTAAATTTCGTCTGATTCTTCTTCTTCTTCTTCTTCTTCTTCTTCTTCTTCTTCTTCTCGTTCTTAATCTTCTTTTTCTTTTGCTTCTCTTTCTTCTTTGATGCTTCTCCATCTAGTTCTTCTTCTCCTTCTTAATTTTCTTCATCTTCTAATGCTTTCTCCATCTTGCTTTGGTTGTTGATGTTGTAAACTGTAAACAACATTCTCATTATGTTTTACAGACAAGCCTGTTGACAGTGGCTCCAAAACAAGTTCATCTAAAGACATCAGCAGCGGACCATGTGATAAATGGGACTTCATTGTCCCTTCACCAACCACGCAAACCAACCAGCCAACCTCCAACCTTACAGGTTATCGGCAGAGACACAAGTTRAGAGTCAAGTTGTCTAAGCATGAGAAAAGCCTTCAGAAACAACAGAAGATCATGATGGACATGTAYGGGGAGGCTCAYGGCAGTGAAGCACATGATGCTCATAATATTGAACAGGCGTATGTCAAAGTCAAGTCAAAGATGACTTCACAAGCATTAAAGGTAACTACATTTTTTAACATTGTTTTTTTTTTTTTGCATTGTGAATTAGAAATTGCTGGAATAGTTCTTATACTAGTGTCCCTACTTATTCCTTACTGTTTGAAAAACCTATTTATCTTCTTTGTTTGAAGTATTTTGCCATTGTTTGTTGTTGTTGCTGTTGTTGTAGTCATTGTTATTGTTGCTGTTGTTGTCATTGTTGTTGGTGGCTGTGCTGCTGTTGTTGTTGTCATTGTTGTTGTTGTTGGTGGTGCTGTTGTTGTTGTAGTCATTGTTGTTGTTGCTGCTGTTGTTGTCATTGTTGTTGGTGGCAATGCTGCTGTTGTTGTTGTCATTGTTGTTGTTGTTGGTGGTGCTGTTGTTGTTGTAGTCATTGTTGTTGTTGCTGTTGTTGTTGTCATTGTTGTTGGTGGTGGTTGTGATGTTGTTGTTGTATTCATTGTTGTTAGTGGTGGGTGTTACTGTTGTTGGTGGGTGTTTCTGTTGTTGTTGGTGGATGTTGCTGCTGATGGTGGTGGTTGTGGTGGTTACTGTTGTTGTTGTTCTCACTATATGCAAGCCTAACTACAAGGAGTGTTGTTTATGCTTCCAAGTTGAAGGGACATTAATATTAAATGTTTGTGGTTTGTTGTGGCACTGCATTCTGATAAAGTCCATATCACTCAAATAAAAAAATTATATTCATAGCAACAATTATATTTAAAGCAACACATTAAAGACTTGATGAAACTTCGTCACCATGACGCCGAGTCAGGAAAAGGCAAAAAGACGACCAGTAAAAGCAAACAAAAGAAACCAGAAAGTGGACCTAAATCGGTGCCGATGATTCTTCTTCAAAATACTACCGTACCAGTCATCAAGAAAATGATGCAACTTGTGCTTGCAATGGATGCAACATGTTCYGTTGATCTTGTTCTTACTATATGTAAGGTATGAGTATATTATATGGCTTAATGCAGTTGATAAATCCTCCATAACCAACCAGGAAGGGTTATCATCATKCTTCCTCTTCATGTCTAGTGGCAAATAGGGCCTTTAAAGAGTTTTTCCATTCCACTCTATCTGCCGCCTTTGTCCACACCTCCACACCATGTCTTTCACAGAATCGGGAAGGGTAATTGGTAAACAATAAGTCCAGTACTGAGTCAGGATTTATTGCAATCCAAATGTATAACCTATCATAACTTTTTGAAAGGCTTGTTAGTAAATATGTGCATTATGTCTTTACTGTTCTGCTTTTATACATCTCGATAATCTATGATTTATTAAGTTATTTTCTATTTTTCTACAGGTTGTTTCTCTATTATCTTCAATCAGCCAACCTACTGTATGTATTACAGATATCCTTTCCCAGTCCCAAGTTGAATCTATTTTACGACTGTGCATTAGTAATTGGGGTGGTTCTTGGACACGTCATGCTCTGATCACCCTTCTCCAGGACTTGATGAATGGTAAATACCTAGTTACACACTTGTGTCATTGCAGTGGACTGTCTAACAATTTATAAAGCTAATTTATTTCTGTTTAGTTGAATGCTAATGTCATCTGCTAATTGTCATCTGTTCTGTAACCATCTAGGCTATAAGGGAGATACCCAAACTGCTCCTCCAGAACAAGAGAAAAAAACAGTTGTAGAGAGTACAAGTGGTGTAGAAACCAAAGAGCAAGGGTCTGATCCAATGCCAGACTATTGGTCAGTCATGATTCCTAAAGGATGGAGCGATCCTCTCATGGCTGGTCCAATTGAGTATGCTGGATACGACTCACCAACATTCCCTGGATATGATTCACCACCCCCAGTACCCTCCCCTCCCACGTCAGTTACATCTAGTCTTGTCATCCCTCCTAAGCCTGCTGTGAGCTCAGAAACATCTACTTTAGTAAAGGCATCCTCTGCTTTAGATGCTCGTCTTGAACTTGGTGTTACCATGGAGGCTGAATGGGATTTCAAGTCTTTACAGGTTTGCCTTGACTTAGTGATTATAGCCTTGTGAGAGAAAAATACAGCTACTTTCAAATAGTTGTTGACATAATCTCAATATTCTCACAATAATTTTTTTGTATTTGCATACATTGATTATCTCTTCTAAATCTAATTTTGACTACAAGTATTTCTACAAGTATGCTAATGATTTCAGTGATTTCACAAGCTTAAAAGATTTAAGTAAGAAATATACAACAATAGACGTGAAATGACATGCCCCATTTCAGTAAACCTGTAATGTTTCAAGACTTAAATAATTGTGATTACTTTCTATGTTTAGTTCATCCAAACTGATGCTGTTCTCAAAGGAATGACGACTAGTCATCTTCATCGTTCACAAAACTATCAGATAACAAGAAAGCAACCTACAGCATCCTCTGCTCAAATTGTGCAAGTATTTACAAGCTGTTTTGACAAGCTGTTCTCAGAGTGTTGGGATTATACCATTGATTTGGGTCTACTCCTTGAGCTGTGGCTGAGACTGAATGGTGTTCTTCCAGACAGTACCAGTAAATCCCCATTGTTTGTACCATTAAGTACTTCATCACTGGCCACCATGTTGTCTTTCCTGGCTGACTGTCCAACCATTTCACTACAGAACCTTTATCTTGCTTTTGAGGTCATGCGTAGTGTCGTGGAAAAGACTGTCCAGGAAGACTTAGTGTGCTTGTCAGAAGCCTTTGTAAGCAATCCAGATTTGGTGAAAGTTCTGCAGAAGACTGTAGTTGAAGGTTCTCCCAAGGATTATGGATCAGAAACAGGTGTTGGTACAGCAGGGACTGGTATTAAACAGGTTGAAGTCTTCTTGTCAACACTGGCTGTTGCACTGGAAAAGCAAGATGAAAGTTGTTTACTTGCAAAGTTTCACAATGTGATGCTGAGCTTGTTGTGCACGCTCACAGCTGAAAAGTAAGAGATATTTCATTCATGACTGACTGTAATGATAGTAGAAATGATAACATCAATGTTAGCATTGGTATTGATATGCTATGATTTATCTATATATTGATATACTATGATTTACAGCCCTTTGCAAAAATTATGAGAATTGTCTAAATATCTAAATATCATAATATCCATATCCATATATTGTCCGGAACACGCGGGTTTGCTAGAATAACTCATTGTTGACATCAAGAAAATGTTCAGAACTACGGATAAGTCCGTCGCCAAAAAAAACTAAACAACAAAGACAAGGGACTAAGGGCATCGTGCGGGATCATGCACTTGATATTATGATATTTATATATTTCAACAATTCTCATAATTTTTGCAAAAGGCTGTATGTTCCTATAACCTTCCTTATGCCTATAACTACTGATATCACCAGCATTATCACCTGTTGACAAGTATAGTGACTATCAACATAACTACCATCATTATGATCTTCATCACCCGTATCACAAGCAAAATAATTTTGTAGATCATTTTGATATAAATTATTCAGTACACATCTTTACTGTTGAGTATGTTGGTATTTCAGTGTCCACTCCAGTGGAAGATCTTTACAAGTGAAACCAATCTTAAGAGCATTCTTAAAGCACCCGCCATCAAGCACCAAAGAACTTGACTTGTCATTGGTCATTAAACTGCTCCAATTAACGATGCAATTATCACTACAACATCTGAGAAAGATGGACGACATCACTCTACATGCTTCAAGTCACTTCCATGAAACTCCTCGTCTCACTACTTCATCTCATTTCCTGGACACAAAGACTTCCAATGAACCATGGATTGTCCACAGTACCTGGTTAACCAAGCTCCTTAGTTTGGTTATAATGCTCTTGCAAATACCAGCAGAAAAACCAGAGACCACTCAGCCAGGAAACAAAGAAGTTCTTTCTGTTGAGAAGGACGATTCTAATAGCAAACAAGACTCTAATTCTCAAGGAGGTTGTTCTAGTAGTCAATCAGTTGTTGATGCATTGGCTGAGGCTTCTAATACTATGGTAACAACATTACAAGCAATGGCCAAAGCAGTTGAGAAAAATGCAACTCAAGCAACTGAAGACACTCAAACAATTATCAATGTCATTGAAGAGGAATCATCCAGCTCAGTATCAGAAACGGAAACGTCTGGAGAAGAAGAATCACTACCATCGACAGACAACACCTGCTCAAAGTCTGATGATAAGATTGAAGAGACAAATGATGAAGTAATGAATTCTCCACCATCACCGCCATCTTCACCAAGACCTTCCAGTATTCTTCCTGATAAAATCATCAACGAAGATGATATTTGTATGAATCTTCTCTTTTGCCTTAACCTATGCAGCTCAAATAACATTGGAGTGCTTCTAACAGGTGCCAACATCCTGAACAGTGGTGGCTCTAAGCCTGTAACTGGAGAACCTGTGTCTGTTGAAGATGGTATACTACAAGTTATGACAGTGATTTTTAGTCAACTATCCCATAAAGAAATGCTTGTCGATACTGTTATTCGATTTCTATCTGGAAATGAAAGATCACAGGATAACCGTAGACCAGTAACTCACGTATCTGAACCATTCCTTTGGTTCTTGTTAAGAATGTTGGACTCTAGTAAACAAGTAGCTGTGTTTAGTGAACAAGGTATGGTGTTTTGATAGCCTCGTCTCCAGGCAACTTTTTTATCCTGCTTTGGGTTTCCTTTGTAATGGTCGTATTGACCGCTAGGTCCCTCTCTCGCTCCTATTCTTCCTTTTCTGGCTCATTTTGATACTTTATCAATACCATGATTCACTTTGTCCAAACAAAACTACGTCATCAGTGGAAACAACCGTTCATATTATTAAACTTATTAATAAATAACTCAGAATCATCATTTTTTTATYATAGTTATTATTGTTATCCATATTAATTAACAGTTCTCGTATTTTAGGTGGATATGAGTTGTTATTCAACAATCTAGTTGCAAGCTACCATGTTCGTCTTGATGACAAGACACAAGACCTCATCCCAGTCATGAGACAATTGACTAAACTCGCTCACAGCCCTGGTGACTCTAGTGTGAAGCTGTTACTGAATGCCGTGTGGGAAGCAGAGACAACAAACGGCCTGGTGAATTATGCTCCTTTTGGTAAGACACAACAGCTTCGGTTAATTCAGTGACTTTTGTCTTTCTTTTTGCTTACTGAACTTTACTTAGTCATCTTTTTGTCCTTTTTACTGGCAATCATGTTTGTCTTTCCTGGAAATGTTCAACKAACMTTAGAATCCCATGTATTTACTATCTCAGGGTCTATAAGCTGTACTCGACCATCAGCCCAYCCAGCAGATGCTCTGCTAAAAGCATGCGCACCACATCGCCGTGCCCGGTCTGCTACCTGGTCATATCACTTTTATCCTGGTGAACTATGGTGTGATCTGACGATCCAGCTACCTACACCTATATTACTACACGCAGTGTATATTTTACCACATACTACCAGCCTTACAAGTAAGTCATACTTAAATACATGCTATCATAATTTAGACCTCTAGACGTGTAAGGAGCTGGCTGATTTATAGTGAATGGCYATGTSAGAAKTTCGTTATTTGAACCCGGTCRCTTCTTAGAGGGTGGTCACTTAATTGAGGTCTGATTTAATGGCTRCTGTTGATTTAAGACTAGCTTTTCCATTTAAAATGATTAAATATCACTTAGAAATACTCAGTACATGGTTTATGTAATTTTAGCCCTTCAAATCATGTGGCTTATTTATGACAGTATGGTTTGTTTGCGTTCTCAGGCTGCCCATCTTACGTAGCGTTAGATTACAGTATAGATGGTACTGTCATGACCCCTGCCAGCAAACCTGTAATGACCAGTGGACTGAGTGTCATTAAATTACAATTTGTACGACCACGAATTGCACAGGTAAAATAAAAATAACAGTAAACTAATAGGCAGACAGAACACAATATTAGCGAAAAAAATATAACTTTGAAATCTTTATAACACAAAATAAGCTTACAAAATAGTAGAGATTGACACTTATGATTTTTTTTTTTTTTTTGATAAAAACGTTTTCTTGTTTGTTTTTAGCGAGTTTGTATTAGATGTCGACGGCCAAGAGATTCTGAGTCACTAGGTCTCTCTCAGATTAAAGTGTGGGGGACATCATTATATGGTCCTCCAGCCAATGGTCATGTCAGTAATGTAGAAAGCACACAGTATGATTGGTGAGTATGATCAAACTTCTTTTCCCATCCACTTCCAATAACAATTTTATCCCTTGCTTTTCTTTCCTTCTTCTTCTACAACAAGCTTTTTCCTTGATTTTCATGTCACTCTTACCTATATCCCAGCGAGGTCGGAAATTATATTTTCCGAATTTATTTCCAAAAGTCTTTCTCCCGGAATAACCTCCTTCTAAGCACTATAACTTTCCTGTATTTCTGTATTATGTCCCACTTTGCCATCTCTCTCCGTAAAATGGGTCCAATAGAGAACTGGACTAAATTTCATTCATTCATCTTTCCAACTGTCTGCATCACCTTGCTTTGCTTGTATACCTTCCTGAAGATACAATATTTGCTTAAACCGCCAGATCTTTTTATTTAGTTTCATCTATCGTTAACTGTACTCATAATATTTTGTATTGCAGTCTTAATTGGATTTGTCTTCTTGACCATTGTTTACATCGCACACCATCTGATGCWCTGGGAAGTTTATCATCATCACAGATGCTCAAACAAGTGTTYAGTATTTGTATTTCCCTACTTGGATCAAATCAGAGGTATCGACTAACAATATTCATAAGTCATCACGATTAATACTAACTGTAAGTATGTATTTCTAGTGAACTGTTCTCTGGTTGTCAAGAGGACGTCCTTTACACTCTAGCCTTGGAGTTCAGTGATCTTKGTCAAATMCTTCTCAAGAGTCTGCTGGTTAATCCTGGCCGTGCTTCACGGACACCAGCAGTCAGTTCTTCCGCGGTCCAACTGGTCTTCAAACTCGCTAAGTCTAGTGGTACTGCAGCTTCTCAGAGGTTTGTTATTTCTCAATGCGTTTTCTAACAACTGGAGCTCTTTTACCAGCCCAATCCAATCCAGAMATATATTTCGCACCCCTTGACTAAGTGGAACATCACTATCACGCTCAACTTGCATATTTTGAACCGATGTCACTGCTTTATTGACAGGTTGAACATGATTGCTGAGTGGTTGACGTCATTGGCATCTCAAGCTCATGTCTCCATAGCAACAGATAATGGATTGACAGGTCTTGTACAGGCAGTGGCTGCAGTTATATGGGCAACTGCCRATTCAGACCTTGCTGGTATTGTCCAGGACGAGTTTAAATTACCTCTTTTTAGGTATGATACTAGTTTATCGTTGGTTTTCGCCGACAAAGGAATTACAAAATCAATTGAACATGTAATCAAAATCAGCCATGTTTATTCAAGAATTTGATCATTATCTTTTAGATCCATTTACGAGTGGTCGCAATTATTAGGCAGACAAGAACCTCTCAAGCAAGCTGTTGACTATCTGATCTGCTCTCTTTGTCATGTTTGTCCATCATATTTCCAACATCTTCTCCAAGTCACTGAAGCTCAGAGTYTAGTTGACCAGGCAAGAACTCAAAACAAGACCGAACATCCAGTGTTTATTGGTAACCCTAGTGGTATGGATACCTTGTCTCGTGCTAGTCTCTCTCCAATTACATCTCAGTTATTGCTGGCTTCTGGAGTGTTAAATGTCCTGCACGATTCAGCGTCAATGTTGTGTAACAGCATACTGACTCCCAAGTCAAGGGAAGATCCTACTGCGGGTGGAATTGGTCTGTCTGTAAACTACCTCTCTGATGTTCTATCTTTCATGGCGGCTTGTACTGAGGAACCAGTCATCAAGACCTGGTTTGGTGAAGTTGGTAATCGATTCTGGAAACCTTTGATGATGTTACTGGGAAGTGGGATTCTCTTTAGTCCTGTTGTAAGAATGAACAAGTCAGCGGCTTTGCCTACAAGACATCGTATCGCACTAGAGTCTGCAGCTATTGAYTTCTTCTGCAAGTGTATCTCCTGTCATCCAGACAACCAGACTCTGTTTGCAAGGCTTCTGTGTGAGGTTATGGCAACBCCATGTGGGATATTTGGAATGTCTACTGAGCATGCTCACATTGATACTAGAGGWGTTGGTCTAGATGGTTTTCTAAGGCGGCTTCTYCTTGAGGCGYTATTGCAAGAAGAATCGATGAAAGTRTGYGTGCAYTATGGATCAGGGCTRAAATCACTCCGATCAATGCAGGAAAATGGGTTTTCACATGACCGTGATTGGCAYCCAAGATTCGGTGCTGGGTACGATGTTCTGGTCTTTAAGGGGAAGCTTGCTTCCACTGTAGAGGCACTAGATGAGATCATGTTCCCTAACGCCGTCCCATCCAATAAAGTATCTGAGGAAAATAATCAAGAAGATGACGTTACAAAGATAGGAAAACTGAAAGGTGATTTAGACGAATACTCATCCATGGCAGATCCAGACTTGCTGGAAGCAGTTGCTGCTGGAATCAATGTCAAGACGAAACGCGCAAAGACAACTTCACTMCCCCCGAAAATGTCAAGTCAGAAATTAGACCCAAGTATATTGAGRGAAAATCTATGCTCACCTATTTGTCGACATCACAGCCTTCTTGGGAGTGTGATGGTTCCAACYCAAATGACTMTGTCTAGTTTAGTTAATGCATTGATAAACAGAGGCCTTCCTGTAGGTACAAATTATATCGAAATGTCCCTAAAGACGTGTGGTGTCCATGAAAATGATGACAGTCTCGCRCAGACTCCTCCTTTGACCTCAGTTCTGCACAAGTTTGCTTCATTTGATGGTCTAGCTATCTTGTCTTCTCGCTTGTCATGTCCTTTAGTCATGAATACACAAGAAGCAGACGTCGACTCTAGTGAGATTGCATTACCTCTAGCCTTTCCATTACCTCTTTTCTCGCTGTCGGCGTCTGTGTTGAGTCGAATACCTGGCCATTCTCTAGCAGCATTTGGGTTATTCATATGTCTGCCTGGATATGCTGATGTATTGTTGCAAGACAGACCAAAGGCACAGTGCTTGTTAAGGCTGTTACTTGGAGCTGAGGATGACGGCAATGGCGGTATGTAGTTATATGATACCTCATCTTTTTTACCAGAATCAGTGCCATCATTGCCATCAGGGTCATCATTGTCATCATTGTCATCATTTCACAATCATTTTCTAGTTAGTTTTCCTCTTCATTGAATGTTGTAATTTCTAGCCAAACAAGAAATTGTGGTATACTGTTTGCTGATCCATTATTTCTAGCCCTTTAGTTCACATCATATCAGTCCTCTCAGCCAGTTCAAGTCTTGCGGCCTTCAACTAATAAAATATATTGCTTCCATCAGGTCACGTGCTGTCCTCAAGTGTTGCTACTTCACTTCCAACTCTCCCATTTCAAATCCTGCGCCTGCTGTTCCACTCCAAACCGCTGTCCMGAGAGGATGGTGTGCGCCTGCGTGAAGTRTCATTAGARCAAGGTGCGGTACAACTTGTGTTGATGTGTCTGGGTGTCCTTAGTCATCACGAGCCTCGTCTTGTCAGTCCTGCTGATAGACTTGCATTACAGACAGTAGCTGCTCTGACTGGCAAGTAAGTACTCTCATTGGTTAGAAATGTAATTATCCTATGATACAGAGCCATTGTATTTGCTGGAAAAGAACTTTTTTGCGCAAAGTACTTACCTTTTTATCCTTTGTATAACTACGCTCACRTGATCAACTTTWGTTAAAATAGATTTATGATGATGAATTTGTTATATAGACTTAAATCGATGTTAGGGTCAAAACACTACTGCAGACTTGGGACACGAACAGACGCACTGTTACAAGCATGATAACAGAAAATTTTCTATCGGACTTGGCTTCAATCATGAAGTCTTTTTGAACCCAATCATGTTTTTACTTCAATTAAGTGATACTTTAGTAATGTTATCGTTGTATTAGTTTATTACGAGGATCTGACCAAGGCAACAATAGCGAAAAGCAATACTGGGCCAAAGGGACTGGATTYGGGACAGGCTCAACGTCTTCTGATTGGGATATTGAGAATGCTATGAAAAAACAACGTGCTGAAGAAGCTCACTCCACCTGTATGCTTCAGGTACTATTATTATACACCGAGTAGAGCTCTATGGAATACCTAACAATTAGATCTTGAGGGTGAGTGGACTACAAGCTGATAGCTCATGAGGTCGAAGGCCGAATGGGCTATCAGATCGTAGTCCACGAGCCCGTAGTCCACTAGTATGGTAATACTAGTATCTGATATCGTTTCTTTGCCTTACCTGCTCTGACTTATTGTAAGTGTTTTAGTTTCGTCTCTGTACGACTTACAGATGCAAATATCTGCTTAAAAGTACGACTTAGAAATGAGAATGGCTCTTTGTTACCTAACTGTACGCATCTACTAGTGTAACTGATGATATTTTTCATATCTTTTAGCTTTTAATATTTCAACTTATTTAATAATTGAAGTAAAACGATTCGTTGATAGGTTTTAGCAAGCTACATTCGTCCATCTGGTATACAAAACAATGAAGACCTAACGAGCCCTGACTACACGACCGAGTACCCAGACTCTGATAGAATACCGCTGTCCATGATGGAACTGCTGGCTCGATCTTGTCTTGTACCAACATTATCGTCATATCTCAGAAATGATTCAGGTATTTACATTACTTTTCTTTCTAGCTTTGCATTAAGTGAGTTGCAGGTTTTCGTTCCCAGTACTAATAGTAGTAAATTGAGTGTCAGTCTCTCTGGAGGGAGATTGGGGCGGGTAGAGACTGATACTAAGCCAAGTCCAAAACACTGGAAAAAATCGCTGGATGTAAATAATTTACATCAAATTTACATCATGTTGGACATTTACATAATATTTACATCAAATTTACAATCTTTTAAGTGCGCGTTTTTTCCAGTGAAAAAGTTACCGACTTCTTCGTGTGTTTATGGAATCCTTATTGATTGTAGTTGTCATAAATCTAAATTGTTGTTAAAGATCGTGTTCTTATGTAGTTCTAGACATGGCTCGTCATGTACCGTTATATCAAGCTGTGCTTGAAGTCATGCGTGCCCTGGCTACATGTCCGTGTCTAGTCCATTTACTGACACCTGATGAGACGGGAGACGCAAATGGTGCTACAAGCCTTGCCGCTTTGATTGAAAAGATGAAACAGTGTGTGGATACTTACTCAAAGACTTTACGGTAATTGTATTTAAAAATATTAATAATTTATGATTTAATCGTATGAGGGAGTGGCTGATCCCATTAAAGAGTGCTCAATACACATAAAGTGTAGAGCTAGTTATATATATGATGTCAAGGAGGCAAGATTTTGCTGTAACTCCGAGTTTCTTGCTACGCACTCATCAGACAGTATTTAAATACAGTGCGTAGCACGAAACTCGGAGTTACAGCAAAATCTTGCCTCTTTGATATCATATATATAATTTATAATTTATAGTATTATTTATAGTATTATAGTATTATAGTATTTAATAATAATAGTAATAGTAACAATGCCTAAATTTACACAGACAATACAAAATGAAAAGCATTTTTTTATCTATTCATTTATATCAATGTTCATTTTTTCATTCATTCATTCATTTTATTTCTATTTCATTTCTCAGGTCGACATCAAAAGCAATAAAGAAAAGTAAACTAACGAAGAAGCCTGTTCAGGCCAAACAACCGACCACCAGCACCGCTATTCCAAGACAAGACGAACCAGAAGGAGAAACAGACACTAAGGAATCAGATGCTGAAGGACTTGCACTTCTCATTCCTGATATACAAGCTACAGCAACCCTCGTTCACGATGTTCTAAGCCATCTTCGTGATGTAGAAGCAAGCAAATGTGAAAGTGACGGTCAGGAGAATGCAGACGGTGGATTCTTAAAGAACGTTGAACTCAGTAATGAAGAGAAGTACTTAGCCATCATGAAACCGCTTCAATTTGGTAAGTCAAATGTTAGACATGACAGGTTGTAAGCAAGTCTAACATTGTCTTTATTATGTAGATATGTATGAGATTATCAGCGAGGAAGATAACGACAGATTGGAGTTTACCATTAGTTACCATTTCGCTTCAACATTGCGTTCAGCCACCGCGAATGGTGAGATGGGTAGTCCGGCTCGCGCAAGACGTCTAGCACAGGAAATTACGTCACTCTCCACTTCGTTACCGCTGTCCAGTAGTAGTAGCGTGTTCGTAAGATGCGATGAAACACGTCTAGACATCATGAAGGTACTGACCGCGGTCTTATGAACAATGAAAGGTGTCCGTAATATGGAGGTGTCCGTAATATAGAGGTTGTCATAAATAGCGATTGAATAGCGGGGTATATAAAGCTGTGTGTATACCTAGGATGTTCGTTATAGTAAGTGTCCGTAATACAGAGGTGTCCGTAATAAAGAGGTTATCATTAAGAGTGTATGGCAGGAGCCCATTCCTGTGTATGGCGATTAAATAGCGGGCCATAAAAATCTGTCTGTTCACCTCGGGTGTTCGTTATTATACATAAAAATGATTTAAAGCGATTAATCTACAAGTCTGTCATTAGATAAAGATAAAGTTTAAGACTGAACTAGAAAATTGATTAAGGTACTATATTGTGCTAATATTAGTTTACTATTGATCAGGTTCTGATTACTGGACCAGCTGAGACACCATATGCCAATGGTTGTTTTGAGTTTGATGTTTACTTTCCTCACAACTACCCAAATGCTCCCATGCAGATTAACTTTGAGACAACTGGACATCACACAATACGCTTTAACCCTAACTTGTACAACGATGGAAAGGTAACATTTCTATGCTTTTGCTATATTTTTTTCTTTCACGTGTTCCTTCCCCTTTTGTCCCTCATGCCACCCCACCCCCCTTCTGTTCATCCTTGTCCTTCTTTTTATGGTCCGTATGGTGCTATTTCCAGTTCTGACCATCCTCTTGTCCATCCCCTTTTTATCCATGTCACCTTCAAAACAACGTAATCATCTCATTTTAATATTTCTTATAACCGAAATCCATAAAAGTCCTTGAAGTATCAGTGTTTTTCTATTTACAAAGAAGTTCCTTTTCTGGTATATTCATTAATCTCTTAATCCATTTCATTTAAGGTTTGTCTAAGTATTTTGAACACTTGGCATGGAAGACCAGAGGAAAAGTGGAACCCACAAACTTCGAGCTTTCTACAGGTCCTCGTCTCCACGCAATCGCTAATTCTAGTGGCCGAGCCGTATTTTAATGAGCCTGGGTACGAACGATCTCGAGGGACACCATCGGGCAAGCAGAATTCACAGGAATACAACGCCAACATTCGACAAGCCACTGTGAAATGGGGGATGTTAGAACAACTGAGAAAACCTTGTAAATGCTTTAAAGAGGTACAGTGTTCGGGAATTATGCATCTCTAAAAAGTTGCAGTGCAAAATTCTTTTTCACGGTTCCCAGCGCCATCTTAAAAGGTAGCCGTGACTTTACATCGAAGCTGACAACAGTTAAGCGTGCATTGATAGATACCTGTGAATGTCTGTAGGTGTGAAAGAAGGTTTCTATCATTGCACGCTCAACGGTTGTCTCGCTTCGATTCAAAGGCGCGTCTATCTTTCAAGATGGCGCTGGGAACCGTGAAGAAGACTATTGTAGCGCACGAGAAAATCTGTAGGTGGGACAATGTCTCTCAGTTTAGCTACCTCGGATACATGTAGGACAGTGTAGTGTCCTTGTTTGGCTTTGCCGTTAGTCAAAGTGAATCTATACATGACAGTAAAATCTCTTTGTTTCATTTTCCAGGTTATCGAAAGTCATTTTTATTTGAAAAAGGATGAGATTTTGAATCAATGTGACACTTGGATTCGTGAAATTGAAGCACTGACATTACGAGATGGCGGAAGACGAGCTGCTTTGCATCATTTACACTCGTTACGACAACATACTTCACAGTTACGAGTCGAACTTGAAAAGCTTTCACCTCCAAAACAATTGCAATCAAAGAAAAGTGACGCTTAGCAACTGTAACATAGCAACCCTTAAAATCTTGGGTATTGCCTAGCAACAACTAGTTACCAACAGTAACAGTTTTGTGCTTTATAAATAAGATCGATTGCTTAGTTACCAGATGTCTATAAATGCAGCTTACCTTAGCAACCAATTTCCTAGCAACTCATTACTTAGCAACCATAGTGGCAAATTTAAAGTTAGTGCAGCCAGAGATAATCTTTTTTATGCCGCAAATGTAAATGCTATGTAATATTTTCCAAAACAAAATGATATGACAGTTCTAGTTTCTGCCATGTGCAAATGATTTCATTGTGGGGGGAGGGAGAGGGGAAATGCAAAATAACCTGACGGGGGAGGCATCAGGGAACTGTTTTTGTACATTCCTGCATTTCTATTTTCAGAATAAATTGATTCATGGATATTTATATTATTGACATAAAGTAGTTAGCAAATTCCTACACAGATTTGTGTTGTGATTATTATTATTTTGTAGAATAAGATTGCTGCATATGGTGCAGCCTGTTAATTACTTGATCACTCTTGATATTACAAAGACAATTTCACAATAAACATGTCAAGAAACTAGTCATGTGTTTTCATTTCTGTTGAAATACTTCGAACAACATTGGAAAATTGTCAACACTTAACATGGGGTGTTTTCCATTACTTCGTATTAAAGCAATTTTGACGTGTTTTCCAGAACATTGCATGGGCTATAGTCCATTGAAAATCGCGATTTTGGGGTTTTTCATCTCTTTGCATTGATAATAGTTCTTAGAAAATTAAACATCGACAATTTTCGGCCGTTTTGGAGTTGGGCCCATGCATTTTCGTCAAAAATCGATGGCCATAAGCGATTTTCGTGGGCTATAGTCCATGCATTTTGATCAAAAATCGTCCATTTTCACTCATTTTGGTGGGCTATAGTCCATGCATTTTGGTCAAAAATCGTCCATTTTCACTCATTTTGGTGGGCTATAGTCCATGCATTTTGGTCAAAAATCGTCCATTTTCACTCATTTTGGTGGGCTATAGTCCATGCATTTTGGTCAAAAATCGTCCATTTTCACTCATTTTGGTGGGCTATAGTCCATGCATTTTGGTCAAAAATCGTCCATTTTCACTCATTTTGGTGGGCTATAGTCCATGCATTTTGGTCAAAAATCGTCCATTTTCACTCATTTTGGTGGGCTATAGTCCATGCATTTTGGTCAAAAATCGTCCATTTTCACTCATTTTGGTGGGCTATAGTCCATGCATTTTGGTCAAAAATCGTCCATTTTCACTCATTTTGGTGGGCTATAGTCCATGCATTTTGGTCAAAAATCGTCCATTTTCACTCATTTTGGTGGGCTATAGTCCATGCATTTTGGTCAAAAATCGGTCATTTTTGGCCATTTTGGTGGGCTATAGTCCATGCATTTTGGTCAAAAATCGTCCATTTTCACTCATTTTGGTGGGCTATAGTCCATGCATTTTCTTCAAAAATCGACGATTAGGGATTTTCCATCACTTTGCATGGCTTATAATCCATCAAAAATCGAGATAGTGGGTTAGATTCTATTAAAAATCGTCATTTTGAAGGGATTTTATCACTTCGCTCTAATATATGGAAAATTGTGATGGTAGGTTGTCATAAAATATGCAGACTGTTTGTTTTTACATAAATTTGTTTATTTATAGTTGTTTTACAAAAAGTCGTTACTATAGTAACAAATCACCTATGACGTATGTATTTAGTTGCCTAGGAGATCAATTATTCTGCTAAAAATCAAGCACTGTTCTTGTGTCAGTTCTTCATGTGCTGTTGTGTTCAGTCAAAATTTCTACTGTAGTTTATAAAAGCTTACTAATTTCTGGTAATAACAAACCCACTCAATATTAATTCCTATTAACTATGTCTTCTTGGACTTCGGTGGTAAAGCAGGCGGTGCAATGTCCGCTCCGTTTTGATCTATTGATAGAGTTTCTTGTTCAATTACTTGAGATGACCGTGGGGGGAGAGGAGGGGGAGCTGGTGTAGCTACGACAGGTGTGGTCGGCGGCGTCCTGAGGGGATGACGAGGGGGGAGGGGAGGGGCGATAACTTGGTCGACCTCTTCAGGTTCATCGGGTGGAGGAGGAGGCGGTCGTCTTGTCGGAACCTGTTTAACAGGTTTTTGAGGTAATAATGGTACTACAGTCGGATCACGTGATTCGTTGAATTTAAAGTCAAAACAAGGTTCAGAATTCATTCTCTTGATCGCTACAGGAGTGAGATCACTGGGAGTTCTTTCTTCGATCACTGACCCCGTTCTTTGTTTGTGCGTTCGTGGAGGTAGGATAGGGGGCCGCACAGGCGGGCCTGGAGGTTCCTCTTTTTTCTCAAAGTTTTCAATATTTTCATAATCAGGATCTGATTCGTCGAACGGTGATTCTGGGATGAGAGGCGTTGTTTCACTGGGAAGAAAGGTGTTGCTGGTCAATGGTGTTCTAGGGAGAGTAGTATGGAAGGTAGAAGACGTTGGTGAGGTGACATCCCCTTGTTCTGCTAATGAGATGATAGATGATGCTTGCGATAATGACCGCCTCATTGTCGATGTAGAGCTAAGCCTTGAATGTATTAGTCTTGTACCGGGCGATCTTAGTGGGACTTCTGTGACTCGTGGCTAAAAAAAACGATAGAAATCTAAATATCTGTACTAAATAATGGAGCTCAAAGTAGGTAATTAAACTATTATAATGAAAAACGAACTTACACATTTAGGAGCCTGTTTGGTGTTTCTAGGTTCGACCTCCAATGATAGTTTATACAAAAAGTCTTCCATTTCTTTGTCCGTTCTCCCCTCAAAAGCATCTAAATTCTCCAAGTAATCCTACAAAAATATAACAACAATAGACATGTCTTCATGCTCTGTTGACATTCTCATTTTCCCTGCTAGCAGAGTCTGGAAATCTTGTAACACCTTCCAATCAAATTTAAATAATGATCTTCTGTGATCTATTTCAGCTCGTAAGAGAGCAGTAATCGCAGTAATTTTCCCCCCAAATGGAGCCGCTGTGGGGTGAGATTTTAGACTAAAAAGACTGAACGATTACTAAGGCTGCATCCATTACTCACCCTAATTGACATTTCATTCTGCAGACAGTATGGTTGATTCTGGTATTGCTGGATTTCACCAGTAATTTCAGCCACTCTCCGTCTTGAAAAAAATAAAAATTGACTTCAAGACAGGTATTTGAAGMCTATTATTCCATTTTGTTGAAGTTTTTAGCTAGACGGAATTATGGAATGTATATTCATAGGGGGAAAAGGCCTAAATCCAGATGTACTTCTTGATGGATTGGGTGAGCTTTGGAAGTTTACAACATACCTACAGAACGCTACCTCTCCTGCGTTTTGGATGGGTTTATAGACTATTCATTGGTACCTCATTCAGAAGGACTCTCATTATATCTATTGGTACCTGTATCCTTTACATCCTTTATCTATTTTACCTTTTGCTAAAGTTAATAATCCCTTCAGGGAAGTTTGGCAGAAAGTCTGGATTCCCATCTTCAATCTTTAGTATGTTGGTCATGTACATTCCTTAATTCAACAAAAATAACAATGAAAATAGTACAATAATCATCAATTAAAACATTTTAAGTAAATAAAGTGTAATATTATTATGTAAAATACATCGTAGAATGATTCCATAAGTCAATCCCAGTTCACTCTCGTTCCCTAGAAAAAATCGAGGATTGAAAGCTACGTCTAATGGATCCAATCTAGACGAATCAACGCAAAGAGATTAACTTGATGTTCAAAACCCACCAAAAAAGGGAACACAAGGCGGGTTAATGGAGCGAAGTTTCTCGATGTATTTCTTGTAGTGGTCACTTGTGAGCTCTTTGGCCTCGTCAAGGATTTTTTGCTGCTTGGCAGATAATTCCTGCATTACCAAAACAGTGGTTAGTTTTTATAGCCTCTTCTTTCACAAAGTTGTTGTCACAAGGAATATCATCAGAACTCATTTACAAACGAATTTAGTAGAGTTGCTCTTCACTCATAATAGGGAATATAATTTTATTTCTCACTGGCAATTATTTAAGTAAAACAGGCTTACCGCAAATGTATGCTGCAATCTGTAAATGGGAGATGAATTCAATGCACTAACTACTTCTAAGATGCCATTAAAATTATTCAATTCTTGAAAAACCTAAGGAGAAGATTAAGAGTACGTTTTACACTTAAAACAGTTTGAAGATCTTTTCGTCGATAAAATAACATAAACACAACAATTGTGTCATAATTTTTCAAGTTACACCTTACTTTACAAATTAAACAAATAYTAATGACTGTTAATCATTCCCTCCCCCCGCGCTTTAAGTTTGTATTGGTGAATACAAGGGTAGTCATGTGACGACAATGGCGTTCACTGAGTGGCTGTGTAACTTATGAATTATTAATGATATTATAATGATACTTACATACAAAATATCAATGATTCGACTTAACACCGCAACTCTCTCCTCAAGGTTTGCCATTTCTAGAATACTTTTCTCCAGCCAAATAGTTATGTTATTTGTATGTTGAATCATCCTCAATAGGTTTGGTGATGTTAGATGTTTGATATCCTCCTTTGTCCACACACTACCAACCAACTCTGATGGACGGACAGCTCTGTAAAGATGTTAATTAGATATGATTGATACTCAAAAGACATGTTTGAGCAAATGCCTCTTACCTGTAAAGGTCTGATTCAATGAGCGTCAACTGACGTGCTATTTCAATTGGGTGAAGCTAGGAATGCAAAAAAAAGAAAAATTCATCATTTGATCGTCAAATTAATCAAACACTAATCATCAATCCATCAATCATTCAATCAAATCAATCTATCAATCCATCAATCATTCAGCCAATCAAATCAATCAATCAATCAATTAGCCAATCAATCACTTCATTAACTATCCAATTAATTTGTCAGAGCGATCTGCACTCTTCCAGTCAATCAATCAAACCAATGAATACAAACTTACAGTAAGAATGTTAAACTTTGTGAAGTCCTCAGTTAAGTGCCACTCAATCTTAGGAGGGTCCTTTTCAAACGTGATTTCAGGAGCAAGGCTGTCACTATCGACGTTGCTCTGATAAAATAAAAACAATGTGTCGTACTTTTTGATGATAATAGCTTTATCAATACTCACAGTATACTATCATTATAATTACACCACCTACCTTTCTCATGATCACTTTATTAATGGACTCCACCCATCGGCGCATCGCTTTTCCATTCACCTCCTTCAGGAATAGCTCCAGTTTCAGTAACAACTGTTTGTCTCTTTCAAAATCATAAAAATGGTTGTCGACCCAGTGACGGATGGCATTCAGAACTCTGCCATGACAAAGAAACAGTTGTGATGATCAGATAGAAAACTTAATGACAGGATGTTCAAGACATTTATTTACTTGTCTCGCACAAATTATTTTTAATTTAGACTCACCTAAGCTGGACAGGTTGAACATACTCCTTCTTAAATCTTTTCAAGTCTTCTCTCAATACTGGTTTTCCTCTAGCCATGGCCTGTCGATCTTCTTCACTGGGTGGCGGTTCAGG